TGTCGGTGCAGGAGGAGGGGCTCCTTGCTCTACAGGATTGCCAGAGAGGTGAAATGACTTCCTCGAGGTCACTTAGTGATGGCTCAGGAGCTCAGGAGCAGGGCCCAGGTGCTGGTGCTCAGCTCCTGATGTTCGCTGCCTTCCCTTTGCTCTGACAGCCGTAGAGAGAGGAAATCACCATGGACAGCGTTTTTGGCAAATACAAAGCCTAAAAACTTGGGCTCTAAACCCATGGATCTGCTGCAGTTGGCTCCAAGTGCTGGAGAAAAACAAGTGTTCTAAAATAAAATATTGAGATGGACTGGAAGGGTGAGTGATGTGGGAAAGGTGTTTTATTCGCCCAGCTTTAAAAGCAGAATTAAGTTTGTGGTTCAAAGCTGCTGATGTTCACCAGCTCTCCACAAGTGCTGACTGTAACTCTGCCTTAGTCCAACAGATTAAAATAGTACAAAGTCCAAGGGATGTAGCAACACATAAATTAAATGGGATTTTTAATTTCCTGGGTTTTCTTTACAATACATGTAAGATGCAACATGTTTGCAACCTCTTTACTTAAAAAAGCAAACTCTTGAAGGAAATTTGAATTCTTTGGCTGGTATTAATCTGATTTTCATGCACACACCTTGAGCTGTCTAGACTAGAATGACAAATGCTGGGTTACAGTACAGGTGCATTAGCAACAGGTTTAGGTTAAACAAGTGGCATTGAATAATTTGGTCTTTCTTGCCAATTAAAGAAAGATATATTTTGGATTATCCATGAGGTTTATTCTGCACTAAAGCCATGTGTTACTTAGGTTATCCTTGTAAGGAAACTGAAAGCAAAAGGTGGCTTTTAGAAAGAGTCAATAGAAGTCAAAGCCTGTGTGTGAAAGGTATTTTTCATCATTTGCTGCCAGCTGGGTGTGAATCCTGTTAGCAGCTCAATGCCAGGTGAGAGGAGAGGAAATCTATTGATAGCATAGGCTGAAAATCAGTGAAAATATTTCTCCTTCAGAAAAAGCTTTGGAAAGGAAATAAAATGCTCAGAAAAAGGAGTTGCTCCTTTGATATTTTTATATTGCTTTAGGAAAATCTGAAAAAACAATACTCTTCCAGTTGCTTTTTGTACAAAGAATCCATTTTTGCCTCTTTTAAAGGAGCGTCTCTAAAGCTGTAAAAAGTTGTGAGGAATGAGAGGAGGGGAAAGGCTTGGAGCTGCAGTGCCAGCACAGCACTGGTGGTGTTCTGGGGCTCATGGGGCTGTTCCAGAGCCTGCCCTGTCCCTGTGGGGATGGATCCTTGTGGGGACGGGTCCTTGGGATGGACCCCTGTCCCTGTGGGCATGGATCCCTGTCCTGTCCCTGTGGGCATGGATCCCTGTGGGGATGGGTCCTTGGGATGGACCCCTGTCCCTGTGGGCATGGATCCCTGTCCTGTCCCTGTGAGCATGGATCCCTGTGGGGATGGGTCCTTGGGATGGACCCCTGTCCCTGTGGGCATGGATCCCTGTCCTGTCCCTGTGGGCATGGATCCCTGTGGGGACGGGTCCTTGGGATGGACCCCTGTCCTTGCAGGACTGAATCCCTGTCCTTCTAGGAGTGGATCCCTGTCCCTGCAGGGGTGGACCCCTGTCCCTGCAGCCCCCAGGGGTGCACAGTTCTCTCCTGGGGTAACCCCAGGTGTTCCACAAGGCAGTTCCAGCTGCTTTCAGACACTTTATTGGGCGACTCCAGAGGATAGAGAGAGCTAGTGCATCCACTAAAAACACTTTTAGCCTGTTTCTCTAGGCTCAGACTTCCTTAATTCTGTGTGTTTGTATCCCCTGAGAGCCTGTGCTGAGGAACTGACAGCATGGGCAGCCCTGATCATGGCAGGGGCAGAGCCATGGTTCCCAGCGAGGATAACAATTCCTGATCTGTGGAAGAAAACAGAGGCCGTGGCAATCAGAGCCCAAGCAGCCAGCCAGAAACTCCTGGAACTGGTTTTCCTCCTTCTTTTTAACCTCTAAAATTGAGTGTTACACTCCCAAAAAGTTTGTCTGACAGTGATTAAAAGCCCCTTTGGGCGAGGGCTGCCACAGGGCTATTTACAGATACAGAGATGTGGAGTGCCACGTCCAGCACTCCACGCTGAATCAGGAATAAGAAAGGCAGCACCAAGAATCCTTGGGAATCCCTGACTCTTTGCAATTTTTGTTCCTGTCCCTGTCAGCACAGGCCATTTCACCCTCACCCTGTGCCAGTGGAGAGGAGGCTGCAAAGGTGGAGACTGGTGGAGAGCAAGGCCTCTGATCTAGGAGGGCAGGGGTGCTCAGATGATGACACTCAATGAAAATAAAGCAAAACCTAAATTAAAACATCGAAAAAAACCTCATTAATGGTAAGATTAACTGCAGTATAACCTCCTACAGGAAGCAGCAAAAGGCAGAGCATTTTAATCTTTTAAAACAGGACTAAACATAGTTTTGGGTAACATATCACAGCCCTGGAATAAATGACTGAAGCTGGTGCAGCTACTGGAGGCTCAGCCATAGCCCTGGGGTTCCTGGGGTGTTGGAGGACTCTAAGGAGGGTTAGAGGGATTCTCACTGAGCTAATGCAGCAGCCATGGCTCAGGCGCAGCAGGAGTGCTGCCAAAGCAGGGTGCAGCTCCTATGTGTAATCAACATTAATTATCTATACATGTATGTGTCTGTAATTAGCTATATGTGTGTGTATATGTGCAGATAAATATTACACCGGGAGAGGATATGACAGATGTTAAAACAAAACATCATCCCTCTGCTGAGCCAGCCTCAATCACGCTTTGAGCCGTTCCTTCCACTCTGAAATTGGTAAAATCCCTGCTCAGGAGGGGACTGGGACCTTCCCCTGCTCCCTCCGTGGTTTGGGGACAGGGCAGGGAGGTTTGTGCATGAGCAGGGCCCGGCCAGGCTGGGGCAGGCAGGGAGGGGATGCTCCTCACTCTGCCCTCCCTGGACCCCTGGGAAAGGGCATTAAGGAGGGCACAGGGGCAGGAAAGAGGGAGCAGTTGTGTTTCAGGCCATGAATTTCCCTTGAGGAATCCTCCCTAGGAAGGTGCCACAGGAGGTGCCAGCACTGAGCACGGCTCAGGCCCGGTTTGAGGTACCTGGGGTACCACACAGTGTTCTCAGTTTTTGGTTAGCTGTTAGTTCATGATGGGACTTTTCCCAAACCAAGGGTAGGACTGTGAGTAGAAAATGCTGTCTGTACCACACGTTAGCAAACGTTGCCAAGCTCCAGTCCTGCTCCCCCTTCCCAGGCAGGCCCTGTGCTGGCCTGGAGAACTGGAATTGCTGCCCTTGTCTATCCCCAAAATCAATGCAGCCCAGGAGCCATGGATGGGACAACTGGAGCCCTCAGCCTGTGAAAAAGCCAAACACCTCTCTGTCCATGCAAGATATTTGGCTCTGGGGTTAACTGTTATCAAGTATAAATCCAGACATTATTTGGCTACTATTTACAACGGGTTACACGTCCAGTGCCAGCAAAGGAATTTCTCTATAGGAACCAAAAGTAAAAAGTAAAAAGCATGGGCATACATTACAAGGAACCTCTGGCAGACTCAGGAACGCTCTATGCAGTTGAGTTGAGTGCTTTCATTCTTTGCCATTTGTGTGCACAGTATTAAAAAAGAATCCTACCTGTTTTTTTTCCTTTTTAAAAATACAGAACTGTAGTCTAGTCACACTCTTACAAGTAAGTGATAACAAAAATAGAAAGCAGATACCCAGGTGGGACTAAAACTCTACTAAAGCCTGTCTTCTTTTTTTTTTGTTGTTGTTTTTGTTTTTCTCCACAAATATATTTCCACAGACAATAATTAGCAGACAAACACAGTTTGCAATTGCACTGTATTGACCTGAAAGGCGGGTACAAAATAGTCTAAATTGGGGATGGCATCCGGGGAGGGAGGTGTGGGTGTGGGTGTGTGTGTGCAGGGGGCTGGCACACCTGGCAGGGCCGTGCCCTCTGTGGCTCTGCCCACTCACACTCACACACACAGCCCTGCACGGGGCTGCTGTGACAGGTGGCTTCTTTTCTCTAAATCTTTTCCTATAAAAGAAAAAAAACAGTGAAATTTTGGTTGGTTTAAAGGACCTGCTCCATGAAGAGAAAAAAAAAAAGAAAAAAGTCACAAAATCTATTGTTTTTCACCTTTTCAGTCATTTCCTCATGAATAAATATTATCCATTAAAAACCTTTAAAAAGGTGCTGCGATACACAGTGTTAGATTCCGTTCTCTGCAGTGGCTCTGCCGCCGGGCCGGCTCCTGCTCCTGCTCCAGC